TAAATAAATATATATATATATATATATATATATATATTTATTTATTTATATTAATTTTTTTTTACCTCACTTCCTGACGTAGTCTGAATAATAATAATAATAGAGAATAAGAATAATCGTATCTTCGATACAACTTGTAATAATAATTAAAAAATTTTTACCACTCGAACTGTTGTCCATCTTTTCTCTATCTACAGATTAAAATGATAGTGGTTATCGTATCATCTGTGGCTCACAGAATAAGTATGCTTCACTCCCTGGGGAATCTGTTGCGAGTCAGATTCTAATAAAATGTTTACAGTAACAGCGAGTCCAACTGCGATGATCGCTATTACTGTGCCATAGAAATCACAGGTGATAGCGAAATAAATAGCCGAGAGAGACACGAGGCGAGGATGAGAGAGGTCTCCTCGCGAAATCGGTCGCGCTCCGGTCGTGATCGGTGATGGCTGCATGTGCTCGAAATCATCGAGCGAATTAGGGAGCGGTGTAATTATACCTGTAATATCTACTTCTGTCCCGTGGAGAAAGATCACCGCGGTTTATCGTCGTGGGATTGTTTTCTTTTTGCAGGAGTTGCGCAGTATCAGCATCAGGAGAAGCAACAGGAGACCGACTATCTCGGCGCGATGTCGTTGGAGCAGCATCTCGCCTTTCAGGGTGGCTCGTCGCAGAGTTACGATTCCGCTTTCGGCGATTCCGCACATCCCGCGTGTGACTCCAACGCGTTCAGTGATTGGTACACCGAAGGTGCGACGAAACAGCAGCAACAGCAGCAGTTGCTACAACAACAAGACAGCTCGCAGCGGCGTTTTCTGTGTCCGAAATGCAACAACAGCTACAAGTACCTGGGCGACATGAAGAAGCACGTGCGGTTTCAGTGCGGGCAAGAGCCGAAGTTCCAGTGCCCCTACTGCCGCAAACGCGCCAAGGTGTCGTCGAACATGTACGCGCATGTACGCAGCATGCACAACGACCTGCCGATATACATAATAGACCTGGACAAGCAGTCCTCGATCAGTCAGCTGTAGTGAGTCGACGGTGTGTTTGTCTCGCGTGTTCCTTCGAACGTTGTTCCTAGTTGTGGTGGATTAACGCGATCCTATCGAAGCTTTTGTATTTGAAAATTCGAACCGTGGATTGTGAAGTTATTTAGAACACTTAGGCAGTACCGAGTTCGTCGGAGTCTAACATTACCAAAGAATAAGGATCATAAACACGCAGAACGCACACACACACATTGTTACGTACATACTGTTGCTACAACGTTATCATCCGAATGACACTCGGAACTTCTCAGATAGATCATATCACGTTTAAAGTATTAATCGTGTGAGTCACATCGCGCGTACGTATGATTTATTGGTTTGTTTAACGAGAAAATTGACGCGATATTTTCGGGAGATTTGTCTTTCTGTCTCTTAACCGCTGTATCGATCAGTCACACGTCGAGGACGCAAATCGACGATCAGATGACTTCTTCGAGGAAATTTTCGTTTCCTCGACACTTATTATTGTGACGAACGTCCAGAAGATTTATAACCGGTGAGATGACAGATAACTCTTAAAATGTTTGTTCATCAGCTGTCACAGCCGTCGATTGTCTCGATTGTTTTTGACCGCATGTGCAATTCTATATTGCGAATAAACCGACGTAAAGCAGCAGCGTTGTAACCCGACTGCACATCGACCCACCGTAGATTTTCAGATTGCCGGTCGATTCGAAACGCGACGAGCGACGCTCGTATTCTCACTTGGCTCCTGCGATCCGTAGTACGTATCCCACTTGTATGTGAATATATTTGTTGCGACTTGGCGAGTCGATGACCGTGTAGATGACCGAAGAGCATGGACGAAAATGTTTATCTCTCTGTCCCCCGATGTCGTGACTTATACAGCCAACCGGGCGATTCTCGCTAGCCGCCACTAACCGCTTGCCCGCAATTCGATTCTTTTTCTAGATTCGCTTTATGGTCAGATGCACTCGTCTTACGTACATCCCGAGGTAGTGTCCGGCAGCAGCGGTATGCCCGCGGACACTTATCGTCCACGAAGAGACGCGCTGGACGTCATGAAGAAAGCGAAGGAGGATTCTTACCTGTCGTCATTCGTCGACTCCGGTCGTCCTCCTCAGGGCGGCACCGCGGCGCCGATCGCCCGCTGGCCGGACAGCGTGGTCATCCAGAGCGCGAGGAAGAAGTTCCACTGTCCCAGATGCAACAGCGGTTATACCAGGCTTTCCGATATGAAGACTCACTGCCAGTTCCAGTGCGGCAAGGAGCCGCGCTACCAGTGCCCCTACTGCACCAAGAAGGCCAAGTTCTCGTCGAATATGTACGTACACGTGCGGCGGATGCACAAAGACGAGAAGCTGCAGATCATCGATCTCTACAAGCAGCTGTCGAGGGTGCGCTACTGAAGACCGCGAGAGACAGCGTCGACGGCTGTGTTTTTCCCCGACGACGACTATGGCGGGAACCGAGAGAGAGAGAGAGAGAGAGGGAACACTGATAGAAAATTATTATTATTTTCGGCGCCAAAAATACCCTTTGTTTTCGTTTCACCAATTTAAAAATGGTAGCATCAATAATTATCGTAATTAGACGCGGAAAAAGTCGGGTTACATTAATTAGAAGTGCACAACCAGAGGCGTTTTGGTTGAAGGAGACAGAATTTCTGGCGCTTACGACCCAAAATGTGATTCTCATGGCCAGAAATTCCGTTTCCTCCGATCAAAACGCGCATCTGGTTGTACACTTCTGGTTAATGCATCCAGACTTTTTTTCCGCGTAACATTTATTATAGCATAACAATGATAATAACCGTACATGCATATTGTCGCCACTATTTTTGTGGTTAAAACGAAAAAAGGATATGTTTTTTCGTCGCAAATAACTATAATTTTCTCTCAATGAGGTTCACAACCGGAAGCGATTGACTGATGAGATTGATCGGACGGTGTGCTTGAGGCGACGATTCGCATTTCACAAGTAGATTCCCGAGATGATAGAAGATACGTGCTATTGAAAGCTATCAATTCGCGTGCGCGTCGCGTTGTCGTGGGCGCGTGTGTCCTCGTCCTTTGTCCTGGTTCTCGCGGGCGCGACTTGAAATTTCCAACGGTGCCCGGGAGCGACTTCACTCGGAACATTCTCCGTTCACTTCGAGCAATAATTTTATACACCACCGCGCGTATTACGCTCCTCGCGCATCGACACCGTGTTTTGCCAGCATGTGAGATGGTAGTTTTCTCGTGAGATCGTGATTTCATACGAGATGTAACGCCGAAGGAAACAGGGACACACGTTGGATCATGTATCGATGATGTGCGCGGTTTCAGTTGTTTCTTTCGAATAAGTAGGTTTATTTGTACAGGCTTTACAACATGTTTGCTCTAGAACAGTGGTGTATTATACGATGCTATTATTATTTTGATTCGGACAAGTTGCAATATATATAGGATCACGCGTCGACCTTTTCGCGGACAAAAGTGTTTTTCATATGATTCCGTATTGATTCGGTTGTAAAGTTAGAGGGAATAATTAATATAGGCGCTTCTCTCTTTGTCTTTCACTAACCAGTAGAAGATGGCGATCCACGAAAGGGTTATTAATACGTACATTAATATATATTAATATATATTAATATATATTAATGTACAATGCAAATCTCGAAAAATGTGGAACTTGATTTATCATAACGAATATGAATAATTTACACAATACTCGCTCAAACGATAAGCAAGTCAAAGGCACTAGTCTTGAATTAATACTGCGTTAATCCTACGGATATATTTACGTTTATACATATTCAGAATTTGTTATTGAAATGTTTAAGAATAAACTTTTTTCAAAAAAAGAAAAAAAGGAAAAAAAAGATGCGCATTCGTCTCCCAACGATTCCTCATGGTTTCTGTCTTTATAATCGAAAATGTATATATTGCTTTTTTTACGACGGTGAATTCAAGCCACTCGTTTATAAACGACAAAGCCGGAAAACAAATCTATGTGACGTATAGATCTCTTTTTTTCTTTTAGCAAAAATGTCACAGTTTTTCCCTCGGACTTTCCGTTTTTCGTCGGACTTTTTTGTTGCGTGTGCGATATTAATTGACACGCGGTGCTTTTCAGGGACGAAAACTTCGTCGAAAGTTTATGATGAACATCAAATGTCTTCGAGGCGGAACACATTATTGGAGAACACGATTGTGGTGTACTTGCGGTATACATTCAGCTGGAAGAAGGAACGATTGTTTTTACCTGGGAAGTATTGTTCCCTGGAGAACAGTGATCGAGAAATATTGACAAGTGACGAGATCTGATGCTATAAATTGAAATAGACAGAAATGAGTTTCTTCACTTAAGTTTTGATACATCCTGTTCTCGTTTGTCCGTCGTCATCCGAGGTCGTTTGATCACTGTTGTAATTATCCGTCATTTGATTACCACTGTGAGATATATTCAGCAATAATAACTACTGACCGTGAAGCATGCATGGACGATAATAACAACCCGAGCGAAGAGAATCTCAACGTCGTCGGGTGCGTGTCGCGGGATCCTCTCTGACACTGTGACTTTTGTTTCCAGGTTTCTGTGCGTCCTTCAGGTTGATGAAAGACATAGGCGGCTATTTACGCTATAGGAATATGTGTAACAAGAGCCTGCGTTTCCCTTGCGTGAATTGTACGAGCGTCTACAGCAAGAAGGCCAGCCTAATGACGCACCTGAGGTACGAGTGCGGCCAACCGCCTCGTTTCAAGTGCCCGTATTGCGGTCTCCTGTCGAAGAAGAACTCGAACATACGGCAGCATATACGGAGGAAGCACGAGAACTGCGTCGTTTACGTGCAAGACACTCGCTGCTCGTCTACTTTTGCCCCCCGTGTCGGTCGTTCATGATTGCATTTCAATAAAGTATGCCATTGTAATAAACTTCAATTTTCCACAAGACCGATATTGTCCAATCGCCTATGCTTTGACCGCATGATCCCGATGGCCACTGCGATCCTCAACCGGTCGACCCTGTCCATTCTTCTCGTGGGATCACGCGTATCGAACGCTGAATACGCCCTTCTGATTCTTAAACAGAGACAGCGTTGCGCATGACATACTGAGAAATGAATTTCGTTGGATCTATCTGACAATGGACAACCAAACGCGTTTTGGTTGAAGGAAACGACATTTCTAGCTTTCATGAACCAGATTTGGTTTTTATAATCTGAAATTATTTTTATTTCAACTAAAATATGTTTGATTGTCCACGCTGAGAGGAAAAAGTGCTACATTCAAGTAAATATTTGCTAAGGAGTATTGGAGTAATTATTTTACTTTGATTAGATAAATATTATAAGTTAAGATATATAAGTAAATATTATAAGTAAACATTACTTGAATGTAGCACTTTTCCAATGTACTACATTCAAATAATATTTACTTCATTCATGTAAAATAATTACTCCAATATTCCAATATTTTTTAGCAAATATTTGTTTGTATGTTCCACTTTTTCTTTCAGTATATTGTTAGGTAAGTTCAATCAAATTCATTTCTCAGTATATATATGTTAAGGTGGTCATAGAGGCACAGGTTTATCAGAAGATCTGTTCCAAAGGTCTTTCTCGCGGGCAACTTTCATTTCGAAAATTGTTCACGGAAAGGCTTACGACAGGCTTGCCTGTCGATTTTAAGAATTTAAAAATCTGCAAATAGTTTTGGTGTATCTCATACAATGAACGAAGATGAAACTAATTAGGTTAGCGATTATTCTTATACCTAAGAAAAATGAAACAAAAATTAGGTGCATTGAGTTATTAAAAAAATTGCGGTTATAACTCGACGACTGTAAGAATTATCTAGGAATGGGGGAGATAAAACACACGCGTGCGCACGCGCGGTATTATAAAAAATGTACAGAATTATATAAAACTTCAAATCGGCATGCAATCTGTAGCAAGCCTTTGCATATACGGGCAATTTTCTAGACGAGAATTGTTCTCGAATGATCTGCGGGGCAGGCATTTCGGTAAATCTTTGCGTCTATGGCCACCTTTACGCGCTCATATAAGCGAAACAACAGTTGGAATTAAAAGGGCGCACTCAGCGGTGCGCTATATCGTTCAGAAAGAGGTTCCAGATACATCATTCTTCGCTCGAGCTGGGTTTCTCTCCCGATGACCTGGATGACTTTTTAATTCAGAGTCACCTGTCGCGCGCGTTCTTCGACGCGAGTTCGTTGAAGGCGTTGATTTCGTCCACTCGGCGAGTTCCTTCGCTCGTCCGCTGCTAGTCGCACGCACCTCCGCCCGCTCTTCTAACTGTCCCTTGTACTTTCAGTTTTCAGGCTCGCCGGCAGGACGAGCGGCCGGTCTCTACGCTGTCCGAACTGCACGAGCGTCTTTCTCAGGCGGAAAGGGCTACGGGAGCACCAGATCTACCAGTGTGGTCAGCCACCGAGGTTCCAGTGTCCTTACTGTAACCACCGCTCGAAACTGATATCGAATCTTTACAAGCACGTGCGCCGTAGACACCGCGGCGAGTCGGTCTGGTGTATCGATCTGAAGCGGAAGTGACGGGTGTGCAGCGTTCTCTTGCCGGTATCGTTCGCGATACGCCGTGTTCGTTGCCACGATCAAATATAACCGACGAGATCACCGTCCGCCGACGTAACCACTCTCTAACGATCTCCCTCGCTCGTAAAGGCTGCTACTCGTGCACGCGGACGTCGTCCTCTTTTCGGGAACTAATTCTCTCTGCGCAGACACCTTGCCGGTATAGAAACGCAAACCTCCTCTAACACGTACCCGCCTGATCCCGGCGATATAACATTTCTCTTCTAACACCTCTCGTTCACTCTCCCGCTTGTCGGGGATCGGCGAGTTTATTTCGAGAGAGAGAGAGAGAGAGAGAGAGAGAGAGAGAGAGAGAGAGAGAGAGACGTCTTGCGGATATCTGACGAGGACCGTTCGTCGCGCCTTGCAGTTCCTCTCTTCTGCTTGCAGACGAAATCTTTCCGTTCGTGCGGGCCTTCGACGAGGACGTGTCGAAGCTGCGACGCGAATCCAAGTTTCCCTGTCCGAAATGCAGCAGCGTCTTCAACCGGAAGAACAACCTGCAGAAGCACCTCAAGTACGAGTGCGGGCAGTCGCCGAGGTTCCAGTGCCCCTACTGCCTTTACCGCTCTAAGAAGACCTCGAACGTACGCGCGCACGTCCGCAGTCTTCACCCCGGTTGCGACGTTTACGTGATCGACCTGACTTGCGTTTAACCGTTCAGCTGTGCTGACTGTGCGCGCGGGTGAGATTGTTTCGGGAGTCTGTTCGGCGATGTGAATGAAACACAGTCCATCGGTGCTCACTCAAGGAGATCCACGAGAAGCAATGCGTCGTATCGGGTGTTTCCCTTCCGACGAAGAATAAAAAAATATTTATTACTTTGAGAAGACAGGATGCTCGATTCGTTGAACTCAATGTCCCGCTTCGTGTCACGTCTAGCTTCGAAGACACGGGAACGAACTGTTCGAATGTGTTGTTTTATTCCGTGTAAAACCGTCTAAAGTACGCTTCGTCTCTCGTGCTGAGAGCCGTAACAGCTTTTACTAAAAACGAGAGTAACTCATGACTTCTTAGCCATTACGTAACAATTGAATAGTCGAACGTCACAAGTTCCACGGTGAACATCGTTTATTCAAGTATTCGTGGTTTTACTTTTTCCTTGGTTGCCGAGAGAGACGAAAAGAGAATTGGCAGCCTAAGGTTTTAATCGATTGTCCGCGATTAATTGATCGAAGGACGCGCATTCTGTGGTGATACGAAGCCGGAACACGAGTTTTGTGAATTTTCCGGTAGAACCTGGACGGTAGAGCCTGGGTTTGACAAGATCGCCGTGTTCAAACTGAATAGACGACTACGATCGGATCCGTGCATTCGCATCTGTATGTATTTGAATTCTCTCGTATGCATGTATCGTTATCCTATGTGTACAATTGTCGTAACAACAACACGTATACGAGTTATTAATTATACTTATGTGTGAATTATTATTTTCTTTTGCTACAAGACGACCACTTCTCTCCCCTTTTCTCTCTCTCTCTCTCTCTCTCTCTCTCTCTCTATCTATTTATTTATCTATCTATCTATCTATCTATCTATCCATCTATCTATCCATCTATCTATCTAAAGCCAGCTTGAATATCTAACCGATCATCATCAGCAGTTTCTCCCCGTCGGAGGCTTTTTCAAATCACCGAGATGGGAGAGCATCGTTAGCCGGCAGGATGTTCTTTCAGCGTCTGTCTCTTCTGTTCCGTCCATGCGATTGCTACGTTAATTAATAAAAATAAACAAAGAAACGAACATCACAAACCGATCATTGTGAGCAGCATCCTTGTCGAACTCTGACGAGTCCCGAACGTTTTCTTGCAGATATCATGCATCTGGGCGGCTTCGATATACCACCCAGCGCGCCGAACATCATGACGACGGGTCGTGTGAGTCGGGGCATGGGCAGGTTCCCTTGCCCGAAGTGTTCGAGCATCTTCAACCGGAAGAATAACCTCTACTCGCACCTGAAGTTCGAATGCGGGCAGTTGCCGAGATTCGGCTGTCCCTATTGCGACTACACCTCGAAGAAGGCGTCTAATATACGCGCCCACGTGCGCAGAAAGCACTACGGCAAGAAAGTCGACGTGATCGACTTCCTTTTCGCGAGTATCTTTTAACGTCCTCATGGAAGATACCGCCGCCAGCATCGGAAATCTCTCCGGCGCGAATATGTCGCGGGATGAACCTCGCTTTCCATCGTAAAACGCACAGGCCTATATTTTGAACTCACTTTTATCGATAAAAGCAGCTATAAATGTGATTCCTCGATCAATCAGGTGGTTTCCAAACCACTTTTAGAGACACTTTTACTAATAAAAGTGAACTGAGAATATTGACTATAGTGTCTAAATCTAACCAAGAAGCATTCCGTTTTTCCTTCGTTCGCGATCTCGGTGAGAATGAAAGGCTCGTCGACGTATTTGTGCATATAACTCGTATTCGCGCGAACCATCTTTCGATCGGACTCGTTTCGTCGGAAATTCGTCTGAAATTAGCCTGAAATTTGCCGATACAAATGCAGTTAATTCATTAAAGCTCATGATTAGACCAGTAAGGTTAACAAAAAACCACCAATTATAAATAGGGCCGGAATATAAAAAACCATATTGGACATAAAAAGCACCCCGCAAAAACAATTTTGCAATTGTTATAAACAAATTATTAAATGTTGGCTGTGGCTGATTACATCAATCGATTGTATGGAAACGGTTACACAAAAAATATATATCACTTTTCCTCATAGCGTCTTCCGTTTATGCAAGAAAAATAAACATTATAGTTTATTGAAGGTCGATTCAGCCTACGGTTGGATCATTGAGGTTGACAAAAGATTAACAATTGCAAGTAGGACTGGAGCATGAAAGACTATATATAAAATGTAGGAATCAATTTTGCAATAAATTGTTATAAACAAATTGTTAAATGTTGATTGCGGGACAAGGCTGATTACGCTAATCGATTCTATGGAGAGAGTTACATAAAAAACGTGTATCACTTTTCCTTGTAGCATCCTCCGTTTGTGCAATAAAAAAAATATATAAATATTATAGTTTATTGAAAGTTGCTTCAACCCAGGTTCAGTAAGATTAGCAAAAAACAATTATTGGGAATAAAAGCATAGGAAAATATTTCTAACATAAAAAGCACATTACAAGATTCAAATTCACAAAAAAAAAATTATAAACCTTTCTCTAAAAATAATTGCAAAATTGATTTTTGTAATGTGCTTTTTATGTCAGAAATGTCTTCCTCTGCTTTAATTTCCAATTATTATTTTTTTCTAATCTGATTTAACTTGGACTGGAGCGACTTTTAATAAACGTAATGTTTATTTATTTTTTTTTATATAAACGGAGGACGCTACGAGGGAAAGTGACATATATTTTTTATGTAACTTCTTCCATAGAATCGATTAGCATAGTCAGTTTTGTCCTACAGGCAACATTTAATAATTTGTTTATAGCAATTTATTGCTAAGTTAATTTTTGCGGGATACCTTTTATATATAATATGATTTTTCATGCTCTAGTCCTATTTGCAATTGTTGGTCTTTGGCTAACTTTAATGGTCTAGCCATGGGCTGGAGCGACTTTCAATAAACCATAATGTTTATTTATTTATTTTTTTATATAAACGGAAGACACTATGAGGAAAAATAATACATATTTTTTCACGTAACTTTTTCCGTGGAATCGATTGGCGTAATCAGTTTTGTTCTACAGCCAACATTTAACAATTTGTTTGTAAAAATTTATTGCAAAATTGGCTTTTGCGGAGTACTTTTTATATCCAATATGGTTTTTCATGCTCCGGTCCTATTTGCCGTTGTTGGTTTTTTATCAAGCTTATTGGTCCAGCCATGGGCTTTAATGTGTTAATGTCTACGCAGTATCCACTCTTTACCGAGAATCTTTCGAACAAAGTCGCACACCTATAAAGTCTTCCTTCATATCGCATATCTCGATTATCTGCCGTTTTTATTGCCCAACTGGAGGCTCGGCGAACGCGTTCTCGCACCGGCCGATTTCTCTTTCCCTCTGTACGGAGATATATACATCACCGTCCCTGTTTGACACCATTAGAAAACAAAAAGAAAGAAAACTGCAACTCGAAGAATCGTTTGACACGCACGAACCGTCGATCACCCCTTCCCCACCTTTGCGCCGTCTTCGTGCCTGAAGATACCGGTGGCTCTATGAGAGGAGCTTTGACGCGAGCGGCGCGTCTGCTTTGTGTTGCAGGCCTGAATTACTGTATGTTCGCCGCGATGCCGTCCGTCACGCGAAGCTACGTTCTCCAGTCTTACGACCCGTCGGCGATCACGACGACGAGCACGACGACGGCGATCTCGGCGTCGATGATCGACGCGGGGAGGAACGCCCGGGTGCTCAGCGGGAAGTTTCCCTGTTCGAACTGCAGCAGCGTCTTCAGTCGCAAGGGCGGTCTGACCTACCATCAGAAATTTGAGTGCGGTCAGAAGCCGCGCTTCAATTGCCCCTACTGCGTCTACCGCGCCCGGCACATTTCGAACGCGCGCCGCCACGTGCGCAAGTGCCACCCCGGCCGGGACGTGTACACGGTCGACCTGTGCAAGGTGCTGCAGCCGCGCGACCCTTGAGACCAGGCGAGCCGTCGCGGGACCGTCACCCCTCGTTGTCTCGAAGAACACGCGACGACGCCGCCGCCTGGAGCCTCGCTCGTCTCGCGCGAAACGCGACGTCGCGCGAAGATCTCGAAGTGAACCCGCACGCCCAGGAAGAACGGTAGAGACCGAAGACTTTATTTTTAGCGAGCGATTTCGCTCGAGACAATGAGGAGTTGAGATTCTGTATTGTATCGACACGGGTCCCTCTTCTCTTTTCCAGAGGTGCTGGCAATCCCGGAGCTTCCGTCGCGTGCGAATCTCGGTACTTGCTCGGTCGACTCGAAGAGAAGTTTCGCTCGCAGCCATGAGCGCCGAAGATGTGTGTGGCGGCGTTTCACCTCGCTCGCGTCTTGAAGAGTGTATGTGTGTGTGTGTGTGTGTGTATCAGCGTGATTCCGTGAGCAGAGAGAGATCTCTTTTGGACGATTGATCTTCGACTTCGTTGTAGAATGCTGCACGATGGGGGGGATCAGTGCCAAATAGTGTTTTCCGATTTCAGCCGTGATTTGGGTTTCGCGACGATTCGGGCGTGCCCGACTACATCAGACACCGAATGATTCATGGAGAAAATTTGTAAAAAGAGGTTGCAAAGATTTCTTACTGTTGGAACTGTAAAAACTTAGATTTTTGAATCGTGATACTCAACACAGTGATTACACTTATACTTTAGTTACAGATGATTGCGAAAAATACTTTTAGCTGTACACGAGTGAGTTTCGAAAAGTTGAGTTGCGGCTTCACCGCATGGAGAATTATTGTATAAATAGAATAAATAGGATGTAACACTTCTACACAATGTATGATAATATTTTTCTGACGTCTTGACGTGTGCAAACATTGTTAATCTGAATATGGACGTTTCGTTACCCGCTTTCATGAATAATCCGTCTGTAGAAAAAATTAACTGAGAGCTCATATCGCTTCCGACGCAGCGTAAACGTTCAGAATGTCTTGAAGATATCCTGAAGATGTATAAAACAAGATAGATATCCTTCGGGCGTCTTTAAAATATCTTTTGGACACTAATGTTATGTGGATTATTATTGAATATACGTTTTAAATAATTGTTATGGTTTCTATAAAGGTATTATTGGTCGAAAGAACCATTATTTATTATTATTATAAAAAAATTAACAATCCCTGTTCAAATATTATTAACTTTTGTAATGAATCAGTACCTCTTGTATATTAGAACAAAGAATTTCCTAATGTTTGCAATCGCATTGCCATATCTTATTATGGTTACTTTTAGAGATTATTCTTATTAGTGTCGAGTAAAATTTTCACTCGCTACTGATTGGCTAACAATTTTGAATGTGCATTCAAGAATATTTAATAATACATATGTAAATATATAATATTAGTACGTATTTTATATAACAAATACACGTTTGAAAATATTGGGTTACTTTTAGAAGAAAGACATTGATACATATACGTTTTATTTAATTTGTAAATGCGCGTTCAAAATCATGTTATTCGTTACTTGCGAAAATTTAGCTCGAGACTAATTTTTACTAAGGCTGTAAACATTCGGATAATTTAATATCAATAAATTATCTGAAATCTAAATAAAAATTTGGTATTTGAATTAAGAAGGAAATTTAAATAATCTTTATATAATTATACGATCAAGTTGTATGTGATTGGATTATTCGGATGATAATTCGAATTTTGCTATTCAAAGATTTAAATCTACTTGAAGAGTAAATCAAATTTTACCAAATTTATATAAAATCGTAAATTCAGATATTATTGGAGATTATTTAGTGTGAGAAATTAGATGAAAGATTAGACGAAAAATAAATAACGATGCGCATTTTGCCGAAGTGCCAAAATTGACTGAAATTATACATATAAATGATATATAGACGGATTCAAATCTATAATACATGTTTACAGCTTTAATTTTTACCATTTGACGCTTATCATGTTGCTCTTTAACCCTTGTAACAGGCAAGTCTGAGTTAACTCGTGCAAGCGGCACTGGCAAAATTGTGCAAGCCCGAGTTATCTCGGATTAGCGTTTTATTTTATATTGCCATGATTCGTACTAACTCGGGTAGGAAAAATAATTACATTAAAGTTATGATAACACAATATTGAAAAACTATTTTATTAGTATTTACATTGTAATGTAATCGTCAGGCGACAAACCGTGCGTTAAATGGGGTTAAACTCTACATTAAGTTCGTAATCTTGCTCTGATGAAACTTAATACATGGTGATCAGAATTGGTGGTATGGTCGAATAAAGGAATAATATTTTATATAAAGGCAAGCTGAAAAATGTTTTTTCTTTTTTTAATAGGAAATAGGAGGGTATTAAGTTTCCAATTGTCAATTCCCTCGATAACTAAGCCAAGTAGAAAAAAAAATATTTAATTTTATATTTCCGGTTTATTTTACGAGAGGAATTATATATGATGCTGGAGATACCACCGATCCTGCTATCACCTTGTGTTGCGGTGTAGCAATTATAAAATAGTATCTGATGAGAATATAATATTGTAAAACACAGTAATTAAGATCACAAAGTAGAGCCTTTATTTGCACGCATAGTCAAAATCCTACGAAGATTTTAATGTCTCAGGTTTTTTACAACTTTAACATTAAAGAGAACATTGTGATAGTTCAGTATTATTAATTTTAAGATGTATATTTTCTTTGAGTGTGTATTTGCAAATTATATTATTCACTTTGCGTCCTTTATAGGCGATTTTAAGACGTCTCCTATATGTTGTATCAACTTTTAGGTTTTTGATTTGTTGCCTCGTACGTTGAGAAAAACCACAAATGTGACTCGTCCAGCGGACAGTTTTTGCTTTTGTTTTATACGGTTCTGCGCAAATTGCGCCTATCGCATTATGTTTCATGTGTACCAAATAAAACACCATCACACTGAATATCCACACCTGTGTTTCATTTCTTGCATTTCGGAATCTTTGCCGTGCCGTACGATTCACACGTACACGCGTATATGCACTTACTTTCATGTGTACTCATACACATGCGAACAATTGAAATCGGAAAGTGCGCGGATACGTGCGAACCCTATTTAACAAATCAGTCGCAACGGTGGGACTCCTCGTCATCGTGCCACGTGATTAACGTATCGAAAAGAGGACGCGTAGGATCGAGTCGATTATTAGAACGCATTAGTGGACATACGGTCTGTAATGAGCAACTATTGAAAGTAAGAAGTACGAAACAAAAATATACTTGATTTAATATTTTAGGCTTTGGCGATGCGGAGAAATGTTTAATTTGATTTCCGAGCGCCATGTCCTTCATCGATTTGTTTGGAAAACAAATCCACGGAAGGACGTGGCACGAACTCGGGAACTAAATTAAGCAAAATTAAGATTATACTTTTCAACAGATTGCACGGGATTTATTCGACGTCGCGAGTCTATAGTGGCGTCTCCAGTGTCGGACACGTTTGATACTTTCCGACTTTAACACTTTGCGGGCCGCTGTCACGCTGACGTGACTTTTGCTCGCCAATGGTTATCGGCCGCTGTCACGCTGGCGTGACTTTTGCTCGCCAGCTGGCGTGATGGTTTGACGATCAGGAAACATTGTTTTCAACTGTTTTCCTTATTTTAGTGCCTTCTTTAATAATAATTATATACCAACTACTTATGTATCGAAAAATTGCGTAAATATCACCGTTGGTGAGCAGTAGAACCTGCGTGAATCTCGCCGGCGGCAGCGTAACGGCGCTTCGATAAATGCGCGGCCCGCAAAGTGTTAAGCTTGGTCTCAGCGTTTCGACGATTCGGTGGATTCTCACGGCGCGCGTATCATCGAAATGTTCACAAATTACCAAATCGCGTCGAGACCACCGCGAGCGGGCTGATCATTATTGACGACACTTCCCTCTCGCTTTTGTTTCAGGGTTAATGGTATTTCCGGTTGTAACCCGCATTCCGGTGTGCAACGTGGCAACGGAACGGCTAGCGCAATCACAGTATGTGATAACGCAGTGTAAGCGAATGCGGGAACTGTGTGTTGTCGCAGAATGAGGAAACGCACGATGAGGAAGCACGGAATGAGCAAACGCAGGATAGGAAATGGCAAAATAAGCAAACGCTGGATGAGCCTCAAGCCCTCGCTGTCAACGACAGTTCCTCCGCCAAGAGACAGAGGTTCCCCTGTCCCAATTGCACGAGTATCTATGGTCGTAAGAGTAATCTTCAGTATTACTTGAATTTCGAGTGCGGCCAGCTGCCCAGGTTCAATAGTCTTTACTGCCAATATCGTACCAGGCATCAGTCAAACGTGCGCGCACACGTGTGCAGGAAGCACCATGGTTGCAGCATATACGCTATCGATGTGTGCAAATTGCTGGAAAACTCTTGTACTCAGGTAGTTTAATACGCGCCGCGATCGAGAGGTCTTCTCTTGNGTTTTTAAGTTTCTGCTTAAGATTTATATATTAATATTTTTTCTGTATTTATAATATATTATCTTTTGTTCTATAGATACGTATATAATTTTGTATTTAATTGTTTAATTATTGTGCTTTGTTGTGTAGAATACGTTGATTTTACGACTAATCCTTCATTGTTGAAGATTATAATTTCGTCGTGTTAGGTGTAATTTTGTGCAATTAGGTCGGATATTTATATTTATATTTATTTTAATAGATTTATAAGAGTTGCTTTTTGATCGGTTATGCATTACATACATTTTTTGGTTAGTAACTGTTGAAAATAAATTTGGAAGGTTTTATATAATATAGATATTTATTTTCTAGGATTCTTACAATGTTTCTTTCAAAATTTTCCAAATTTTATAATTGAAATTCGAATGATTCTTAATTTTATTTTATGATTTATAAACTTTTATGGATAGAAAATATTAAGAGGACTTTGCACAATAAATATATATTAATTTGCATTCATTCACATTTTAAAATATTTTCATTTTACCTGGATTTTCTAATACATTGCTTGGAAAATCAGGAAATTCTTAGAGAATTTTTTTCGACAAACACCTTGTGGGTGTACCTCGGGAGGAAAATTTTTAAAATTTTGAAATTTTAACATGAATACGACCCATGAGGGCGACCTATTTAAAATATTTTAAACTGTGGCAAAATGGATCGCATAAATTTATCGAAGAAAAGACGTAAAAGGTTATGTATTGCTTAAATTAAGACTAGTCTATGTTCTTTGATCCTCAAGGATGGTTGATAGTATTTCATATGTTTGCGTTCGGAAACTATCTGCATTCGAAGTGAAATCTGCCTTTACCGCTATTCATTCTACTCTACTATATCCTCAGGATGGTATTTCCGAACGCAATTTAGATGTTGTGTGTTATGTTCATTGTGTCGAAAAAATAACTATATATGAATTGCAATATTTACATGAAATATATATGAATTTTGATATGAAATTGTGACGGCTTAATGACATTCGGTTTTACAGGTTATTCGGTTTGAATCGGCCAAAAAGAAACGAAAGACTTGGGGATACTTTGTTTCTTTTTCATGTATTTGTTTGTATGTATTTGTACCATGTTTTTATGCAACAATATTTTATTAAGAAAATGTTTTATTGTCATTTATAAATTGTACTTAATACTGCTTCTTGTTTCTCAAATTTGTCGGCTTCATTTATTTCTTGTCTTTATTTAATCTTTATTTATTTTTTATTTATTCTGATGCGGATTAAGCGGATTGTACGAATATGGAATTACCAAGTACAGTCGCGTTATTTTATTCGGTGCATTTGGAATTTTGCTGAAATCGATGCGTACTTATGGACAAACGCGCGAACAGTCGTTACAATCGTCCATTATCTCGTCGTGTTCCGTGTGAGAAAAAATATCCACACATTATATCCATACATACAGTTTACATCTACGATAACATCTACGATATATTTTCTAGGAAAGCGATATGTACTTATGTGTCCATCGCAGCGCATACGTGCATATGTATACACATAAATTAATGTGTAGCATATATTTATAACATATTTCGATGAAAAGAGAATCTATGTGGGAAATATCGTTGAAGAATTCGGAGAATCGAGGTGTTCTCTCGTAGGCCTAATTATGTTTGTGTGAGTGCTATTTGCCCCAATACAATAGACTGTATTATCTTACACCTCTCACCTCTTTGCACCCTCCGCCACTTACTGTCCGCCGACGAATATAGACCGGTTTCGCGTGTTCGGCACGTGTGATCACTCGTGTCAGGAGATTAACCTCGGAGAGCGCGCGATTATGTCCCGCCGTCATTGCAGGTGTAACGTTCTCGCAACGTTAGAAAATCACCGAGTCGGCAAATTGTGTTCCCCTCTATGTCGGCTATTTCTCGCGCGAGAAAAGAAATCGCCGGTGGGTGCGACTAATCGGCAGGATTTCGGATTTTTCAGGGGGGAAGTACCCGACGAGCGCGCTACATAGGTACGGCATGAGCCGGTCGGTCCGTAAGATCCAGCCGCAGCGACCTCCCTCGCAGCAGGTGCACATTTGCCCGAAGTGCGGCAGATCCTTCAATTGGCGTTACAATCTTCAGCATCACCTCAAGTACGCGTGCGGTCAGTCGCCGCGTTTCAACTGCCCGTACTGTCCCTTCCGGACGAAGCACACGTCGAACGTGCGGGCCCACGTGCGCAGGAAGCATCCGGACCGCGAGGTCTACGTCGTCGACATCCTCAGCTGGCAGCATCGGGCGGAACCGACGCTCGCGTGAGAACCTCGCCTCGGCTACCGTCGCCGGAGCGTCCACGACGACGATGACGATCGCAACCTGCCCTTGCTAAGTTCACGGTAGTCCCGAGAGAAATGCCCTTATCACGTGCATGCTTCCCCTCCCCGCCGATGCGTCCACCCTTGATATGTATACCGTTAGTATGTCGAGAGGACGCGATCTAACCTCGTCGGGGCGTCGTTCTCGACGCTCTTTCTCTCTCTCCCAGATCGACGAACTCGGCCGTTCTCGCGACTTACCCGTTCTCGTTCCCTCGAGGGACGCTCGTAGAGTCCGAGATTTAGAGATTTAGCGGAGACGCGACGCGGTTCACGGTCGTCATGGAAGGCCAAGAATGACGGGGACGTCCTGTGCTTTCTTTTTGCAGGTGTCGCATACGCGTCGTCGCGGTTCAAGCAACGAGGATATAGCTGGCAATACGCAAACAGGGCTACCGCCTTCGCGTCGTCGGGCCAGCACACGGCGAAGTTTCCCTGCGGCAATTGCAACAGCGTGTTTAGCATGAAGCACAACCTGCAATATCACCTGAGGGTCGAGTGCGGCCAATCGCCGAGGTTCAATTGCCCGTATTGCTTGTACAGGACGCGGCACCCGTCGAATGTGCGCGCCCACGTGCGCCGTATACATCCCGGTAACGCGGTCTACGTGGTGGACATTTGCAAGAATGAAGTCCCGCAGTTCTCTTGAGCGGTCCTACGCCCCACGCACTCTCTCACTCGTTATGTTTGTGTTTGACGAAATATAGATATATTTGTGTACATTGCGAGCTGAAACGCGAGATACCACGAGTGTGCATGTTACTTACTTTACTTACCACCGTTACGTCTCTGGAGTGTTTCGGATCGTGCAGTCACTTGCGTTTCTGTTCTCCTTTCTTTGTTATTTTCTGGACGCATCGTCTTGGCAGCGCGGATGAGTACCTATGGCTTCTCCTTGCGTATGTCGTGGTCGATTGTGTTCGTCTCGGCTGTTTGAGGCCACGAAGTTTGAGTGAGGGAAATTTCGTTGTCGTCTCGTCTGTGGGAGAGCTTATTGGGTATGGAAGCTTGTGATCTGATTCGGAAGTTCGAAGTGCTGAGGACACTTGTGCGTGAACGGAAGAAAATCATACTTTACGTATCGTTACATACATAAATCATCAGGATTTAATCGATCGGTTTCATTGATACGCGACCTTGATGCGAAGAAAATGAACATCTTCGTTCGTTCAAACGAGATGTAGATTAAAAGCTTAAGCAAATTTTGGTAGAACCGAGTTACTAAGGGAAACACGTCTATTGATAAGATGAAGAGGGTAAATCTTCGAGACGTTGCAAGACAATTTTATAATTCGACGAAATATGTATCGCTGTGAGAACTCTAAATTTTACCTACTAAAATTGGTATCTTTTTATGTTTTTTATGTAAACGTGACTAAAATGCTATTACATTAATAAATATTCGTATTTCACCGATCTTACAAATTCATTGTATCCTTTCATACGTGATACAGTCAGAGCTCGATTTCATCACTTTCTGCACATTTTCCCGTATTTTTCCATACAGCATAGATTTCGATTAGAATACCTAGTCCACTAGTTATCCTGATATAGGCTATCTTATTGCGTCACCAATTGGAAATCCTCTTCTTATCCCAAATATGGGACGAAGTCTCTTTTCCGCGATGCTGATTGACTTTGTGCCGCGTGACTTTGTGTCATCGTTAGAATCGAGAGACAATTCGAATATTAGATTATTAGGACACAAACGGGATTATATTTTTAATATTACTATGCTCAATAGCGCGCGCGTGACGTGTGTATGTGTGTGTGTGTGCATGTGTACTTGTTAAGTGCAAATATTTGAAGTGCTCCGTACATTTTGTTCAGTCATAATGTAAACTAGAAAAATCTTTGAAGGAAAAACGTTAGGAGTGACCAAGTAGGATCTGCTTAAGTTTCCCACTTAAAATCGTATGTTTGGAGCACTACACTTCTCGCCAGAACCCGCGTAGGATTTCCCGGCTAGAGGCCACAATTATTTCGGGAAATCGGACTGGATCCCAATTAGATCCCGAGAAATTTTCTATGCGGGTTATAGAGAGATAAGCACACATCTCCTCTTTAGATCCGTTAATTTAAGAGTTACACGACTTCCTCGTCGGGGAACGATCTTGTCGATCGTTTCGATCGTGTGAAGATGTCTTGAGAGTGACTCGAGAAGAAAATCGGATAAGAGTCTGCGCCGCGCATCTCCGTATCCGAGCGCATCTCACCGCAAACGTGAGCGCAGCGACGTTGCATAGCAACGTGCTCCACGTTTCCCGCGCCTAATCGCGCCGTGAACTTTTCTGTTCTCAGACACTTATCTGGCCAACGCGCAACGGTATTACGTGCAATCGTCTCAGTGCGTCTACAAGGCCGACGGGACGCCCTTGATGAAGAGGTATTACCCGTGCCATAAGTGCGGCAAGTCGTTCACGCGCAAGAACAACCTGTACAATCACCTCAAGTTCCAATGCGGCCAGCTGCCCAAGTTCAACTGTCCCTATTGCACGTATCGCACGAAGCACTCGTCGAACGTGAGGTCTCACGTGCGCAGAATACATCCCGACCAGCAAGTCTACGTTCTCGACTTGCGCATGAAGCAGGAAAATCAAACGAGATGAGCATCGCGAACTGCACTTCACGCAGGAAGAGATTACGACATTCCATCGGCTGCAGTCCATCCTTTCGTGTATCCTGAACGAGACAGCCGCGTGACCGCGACGTTGATCGATCGAGCAATAGCTTCCATTTTTAGACGCTTTATTATTTTGACATATTTTTATCTTTGATCTTTGAAGTGTTTTTTTTTCTTTTGTTTTTTCGTTTAATTCGTCCTTCTCTCGTTCTTTTATTTCTCTTTTTTATGTGTTTTTTCTATCCTGTAGCTTGTGAAAATATATCGATTTGTTTTTATCGTTGCGCTGTTTGGCATGTTTGTTTTTTTTTTTTTTTTTCCGGAGAGGGTCTGATCATGACTAAAGTGTATCAGCGATATCGCCCCGGAATTACGTGCATCTTTATCGCGAAACAGGATAGCCGGGGAATCGTTTGCCAATAGTTTGTGTTTCTCGGAGATTGTTATAAGTATTATTGACAACATGATGTATACGTTCCGTTGAGTTTCTTCTTATTTCGTTCTCGACGGCGATTGCATGTGTGTGATCTCTTTTCATCGCTTCTCGTCGTCGTGCGACGATCGTTAGACCCGCGACGAAATGAATGTAGATTCTATAAGTGTACTTCCAGTATCATTATACACAGAGAGTGAAATAAATTATTTGTTTATTAAACTCTCCCCGAATCTTTCTCGTGCCGCACGTTTCTCCGAAACGCCACCTGTTCCGTTATATCGCACGCTTATAGGTTTAATTCTAAGTATAGCTGTAATTGTAGTGTGTCACGGACGCGCGTAGAGGACCTCCTGACGCTCAGACGCGAGAAGACCGATCGGAAGCGCGATGCAATCGTTCCTCGCGATCCCTTTCGTTCGGAAGTTCGCGACTCCGCGAATCGATTTTCCTCTTCCGTCGGACGCGCGTGTTCCCAAACGGAATGCAGGAAAGCCGTCGGTCCAAGCTCGAACTGAGACGTCGCATCGCTCAGCGGATCAATCGCGTATCGGCCGAGACCGAGCACCGTACTGTTCGTCTGTGCGTTAGCTTCGCGATGTAATCGCGATAGTGTAAGAAACAGCCGTGCGGCCGATTCTGCGTGCTGTCAATGATCGATCTTCTGTTACAGGCCTCGTTCCTCATTACAGCTGGTTCTCCTCGTTCCCTTCGGTGGAGTACGGCCGGCCGGCCGTGCAGAATCAAATGACGCCGCCGCACAAGAAATTCCACTGCGTGAACGCCTGCGGGAGTTCCTTCACCCACCGTGGCTCGTTGACGCGGCATCTACGTTACGAGTGCCAGCAGGATCCGCGATTCAAGTGCCCGTCCTGCGATTTCCGCTCGAGATGGACCTCCGACGTGTATAAGCACGTGCGCAAACGGCACGCGGGTGTCACCGTGAGCTGCATCGATATCGGCAGAAGATGAATCATAAGTTCTTGCTCGCGCGCATTGTTGACGAAGCTCGATACAGAGATTTATCAGAGACACCTGCATCTGTACAAGTTGTTGCATTAATACATAGGTCATTACGAACGGCTTGTCGTTTCACGGGCTCATTATAGTCCACAATAGGTGGCAGTAAGCTTTTGGCCCTTCGCTCTGTGCAATCAAATGTAACATAATTTCTGACAAAAGGCGTTTCTTGCCCTGTCAGAAGTTGCTATAAATCTTAGGAATTGCGACGCCTGGCAGTGCTGAGAATGTTTTTTGGTAAAAATTACGTTACCACTTGGCGTTTAGAGCAAAAGGCCAAATATTTGCTACACATATTGTGGACGCGGACTTAAATTTTGGCGGCATACTCGGTTGTGCATATTTTTGGGAGTGAGATTGGGAATGTGTGTAACGCCAAGACCTACTGAATCCGTGCATGAATGATCGCCTGCCAACGAGCGGCTATACAATATAGACTATATGCCGGTGCAATACAATCTGTACAGTCGTGGACAGAAAGATTGTCCCATTCCTTAAGTGGATATTAGATATCGGGAAGTTCGAATTAGGCGCGTAATTCCTGAATATTCATCATGACTGCTGCTTTGGAACATCCTTGCTGATTCACGGAATAATCAGCAGTCATGATGCACGAGATTTCGGAAATGATACTCCGAATTCGAAATTTCCGATATTACAATGTCCAGAAGATGGGACAATCTTTCTGTCTGCAACTGTATAGTTGGTGTCATACATTTTATACCGTTCCCTAGATCGAAAATAACATAATTTCAGTCTTCATAAATACACATAACGTCAAAACCATTATAACTAGAGCCATATTATAACCTATTATAATTAGAGAGTTACTTGTGCGACTTACAATCTTACGAATTGTGTATAAGGCTCAACAATTTGTAATTTTCCGTCTAGAGAATGGTACAACATATTTGACGCACACTGTACCTCTTTTCACTTTCTGTTGCAGTGTATGTGTGTGTGACATGGGTGATTTATCACGACGTATGCATCTGTGCGTTTATGCGACCTTTCTTACATTTATTAATTTAGCTTTTGTAAATTTATTGATTGTAAATAAATATGTCTCGAATGACAATAACACTTTCGCAATAACACCTGTGCTCGTTTTATGGCGCTGCATCAAGTGGTTTTTTTCTCCCGTTCCAAACGACCTCCCCTGTGTCTTTCAACATTTTCGTTGAGTTGATCTTGATTGATGCTATTTGACAGCAGGGTTTCAGCTCGAAAGATGCGCACATGACGATGTTTATCTCTTGATTTTCTTCCTCTGACAGCATTAACGCGCTATTGTCTTCGGCCTCTTGTCTCTGGTCACCGATTCATCATGGATAGCGTTGACTATGTTGTCCGGTGTTTTTCTCAGCAACGTTGAAGAGAACATTTGCTCGTCGCTGACGATTCTTTCGTAAGGACAATATGAAATTGCAGCTGCCAGTTGACTAAGGTTTCTTATTATTTTCCAGGCGTCAGCCCGATCGTTCCGCTCTGAATATCTTCGGGGGCCTTTTCGCATCCGCGAAGAAGTATCGGTATATCACTGTTTCCAGTACTTCCTGTTCTGTAGACCAGAACCTTCGCGCATTGTACGTCAAGGCCTCGGTCTTTTCTGAATGAACTCTTGGATGTAGCGGCCTTGGCTGATGATATCGCTGTGATTCAAGAATTCTTCATTTTAGTGGCACTAGCGCAATATAAACACACAAGCTATATTCAAGAAAAAACGTATTCAAGAGAAACATTCATATAACATAATTATAATAATATATTATATTGTTGCGGCTTCTTTCGCACCGCAATAACAATATATATAATATTATACAGGGTGTCCCAGACCACCCGTCTCACCCGATTTTTTTGTAAA